CTATGTGTGTGCTGATACTGTGTGTGTGTGTGTGTGTGTGTGTGTGCTCTGATACTGTGTCTATGTGTGTGCTGATACTGTGTGTGTGTGTGTGTGTGTGTGCTCTGATACTGTGTCTATGTGTGTGCTGATACTGATTGTGTGTGTGTGTGTGCTGATATTGTGTTTTTGTGTGTGCTAATACTGATTGTGTGTGTGTGTGTGCTCTGATACTGTGTCTATGTGTGTGCTGATATTGTGTGTGTGGTGATACTGATTGTGTGTGTGTGTGTGTGTGCTCTGATACTGTGTCTATGTGTGTGCTGATACATTGTCTATGTGAGTGCTGATATTGTGTGTGTGCTGATACTGATTGTGTGTGTGTGTGTGCTGATATTGTGTCTTTGTGTGTGCTGATATTGTGTCTTTGTGTGTGCTGATACTGTGTGTGTGTGTGTGTGTGCTGATACTGTGTCTATGTGTGTGCTGATACTGTGTCTATGTGTGTGCTGATATTGTGTATGTGCTGATACTGATTGTGTGTGTGTGTGTGCGCTGATACTGTGTGTGTGTGCTGATACTATCTGTGTGTTGATACTGTGTGTGTGTGCACGCGTGCATACGCTGATACTGCCTGTACAAGACCGGCCCCAGCTGACGGACTATGCTGCTAATGTCACCAAACTGGGCTAACAATACGTTAACACAGTGATTCTCAAACTAGATGGCACAAGCGTATGTCAGGGGTGCCGCGGCAATAATCAAGTATTGAAACCGCTTTCAGGGGAGGGCTGCTGTACACATTGTTTTTTTGTCCAAGAAAGTTTGAGAAACGCTGTGTTAGCGTGTCGTTGGCCCGGTTTGGTGGTGTCAGCAGCATGGCCCATCAGTTGGAGCCGGTCTTGGTCTGGAGCCAGTCTTGGTCTGTATATGGGTGCTGATACTGCGTGGATGTGTGAGCTGACACTACGTGTGTTTGTTTGCTGATACTGTTTATGTGTGTGAGTTTGTGCTGATATTGTTCAGTTTTGTGTGATGATAGTATGGTTGTGTGCGGTGATGCTGTGTGTGTGCTGATAATGTCTGGTTGTGTGTGCTGATACTATCTATGTGTGTTATGTCTGTGTGTGCAGATACTGTCTGTGTGTGTTTGTGTGCTGATCCTGTGTTGTTGTGTGTCTAAGTGTACTGATACCATTTGCATATATTTGGCATTTATCCAATGATGTGATGTGTTGTGTGGTCATTTATGTGTTGTGTGTCCCTGTTTGATCTTACTTCTATATATGGAGCCTCTCATTTATCATGTGTTGTGTCTCCCTGTTTAACCTGACTTCTTTATATGTAGCCTTTCATTCATCATGTGTTGGGTGACCCTGTTTAACCTCACTTCTATATATGGCGCCTCTCATTCATCATGTGCTGTGTCTCCCTGTTTAATCTTGCTTCTATATATGGAGCTTTCATTCATTAGGGGTTGGTTGACCCTGTTTAACCTCACTTCTATGTATGGAGTCTCTCATCCATCATGTGCTGTGTCTGCCTGTTTAACCTCACTTCTGTATATGGAGCCTTTCATTCATCAGGGGTTATCTGACCCTGTTTATCCTCACTTCTATATGTCAAGCCTCTTATTCATCACGTGTTGTGTGTCCCTCTTTAATCTCACTTCCATATATGGAGCCTCTCATTCATCATGTGTTGTGTGTCCGTCCCTGTTTAACCTCACTTCTATATATGGAGCCTTTCATTAATCATAGGTTATGTGTGCCTGTTTACCTCAGTTCCTTATATTGAGCTTCTTATTCATCATAGGTTGCACCTTTAAAAGCCAACAGGAGGCACCCTGCAGACCATATTTGAGGACTGGCCTTACTTGTCCAGTGTGTAGCTTCATGAAAACATTCTCATTGGCTTCCCATGTTGTACCAGCAAGCTTTTTCGTGATTGCCTTGCGATTGTTATACTTGCCTGTACTTATTTCTTCTATGTCAGGTGACAGAATATGACTTCTTCTTTTGTTGTCTCACTGGTACCAGATTTAAAGCCCATTTTTATTTTATTTTATTTGTCTAGTGCTTCTCTGGTGGCTTGGGTGGTGAATTTATTCATTTTTTTTTTTTTTGCAGGTTTCAGCTACATCATTTATCCATCTTTCTGGTCTTCCTCTCACCTTCCTCCAAGATGTTCTGCTGTAAAACGTCTCATATGCATTTTGATCTGTGGCCTGGCTGCTTTCTCACTAGATGACTTAACCATTTCATTCTTTGTCTGTCAATATAACCTAGACATGACGGATCTTATTCCAACTTTCTCTCTAATGCTGGTATTCGTAACCCTGTCCCTTCTTGTGTTTGTAATGATCTTGTAGTGACTGCATTTCAAATGTAATTTTCTCTTTTAGTGACATAGAGTTAATAGATTGCCGACCATCGAAAGACTTACTGGCAAGGTTCAGATTTCCACTTCCATTTGTCCCACTCATCTGAGTGTCCAGACCAAGTATCTCACTGCCAGATTGTGACAAACAAGGTTGAGATGTCCAACCATAAATTGTCAAACTGATTGATTGACAGAACGGTTCAAATAATAGCTACCATTGTCCCCACTCATCTCTGAGTGTCGGGACAAAATATCTGACCGTCAGATTGTCCTACTGACTGACAAACAAGGTTCAGATGTCTGACCGTACATTGTCCAACTGATTGATTGACATAAAGGTTCCAATGTCCTGCTGGTCAAAGTGAAGTGACCACACATGAAAGCAGTGCCTGATGTATGCTTTCCTATTCTATACAGTCATGCTAAATGTTCGATTGCAGCAATATTAAAGGTGCCTAACCTGCTGAAGAGCTTGCCTGTTTGAGTGCTCATTAAAGTCCCTGACCTGTAGGCTGCTCACTGTTGATCTCCAAAGGTTGCAGCCCTTGATGAATGGAAAGCTTAACATATGGTGTGAGGTACTGCTGTCATGGGCAGGATGTGACGATTCCTTTGGTGAGCCTATTACCAGAGCATCTTGTGTTGTCTCCATTCTTGGAAGCCTCCTTTGCTGGCGGGGAATGCTCATAATCTGCCTCTGCCTTCCGTTGCAAGCTGACCAGGCTACACGTGGGTTCTCCAGGGGCAATACCTTTACATAAATGGACAAAGAGGACACCACACAAATAGGGCTTCATCATGTCCCACAAAACCAATTGGGAGGGCAAGCCTGATGAAGTTGGATGTATCAGCCGAAAGGTGCAAATATCGCAGCTATGTTTTAAATAGGGAAAACACAATTACATCACTCGGATGGTCGATGCTGAAGAAGATTAGCTTAGCTGTCTTTTTTTTTTATTTGTGAGGAGAACACTGCGTGTTTTTTTCTCTTCACTCATATTCACTAACCATGTTTTTGACCATTTTTCTAACACTGGTAAGGCTTGCTGCCCTCTTTTGTTAGCTGCACTAATATTTTCTTTACAGTTTTATATAGCTAAGTCGCCTGCAAAGGGCAACATGTAAACTCTGTCAAAAAATTTTTAAATGTCATTTATATCTGCTGAGAACAACGGCCATACCTCTTTTTTCAAATGGTGCAGGTGGACATGACCTCATGCCTGTTATTGAAAATAGCATGACCCCAGCTGAGAATGAATGTATATGGTCTGTTTTGACCTGTTCTTTCCTCTCCAGTTAAAATGTTCACACACACACACACACACCCACCCACACGCATGCACACACACACACACACTCCCTCTCTCTCTCTCTCTCTCTCTCTCTCTCTCCTCTCTCTTTCTCGTTAAGGCTACTGGTGACTACAAAAGTGGGCTAGGAGGCCGAAGGCGTGTGATGTGGACTCACATCAAGTTGAGGCTAGGTGTTCCCTTTCATGTGACACTGCCTTGGAAGCATACCAGTGTTTATAGGTGGAGCATAAGATGGACAATGATCCTGTACACCAGTTCATTTTCATGGTCATACTGTGTTTTGCCCCAATCAATAGACTGATGATTAGTCACCATGTGGTTGGCTTAGGGAACTTTTACATGTATCAGTGAGGCATAATCAGTCACATTTTGAAACTTGGTTAAGAAGCCATACACACACCATCATATCGCTTCTCAACAGAAAGTCCAAGATTGGAAAATGACTCATTTGCATAGAGGTGTTCAAGATGTGGGCAGAATCAAGACCAGATTGGTGTGGGCTGTCATGCAACAATATTCCAACTCTTCCATATTTAAATTCCAACTCTTCCATATTTAAATGCCAACTCTTCCATATTTAAATTCCAACTCTTCCATATTTCACTTTTACATAAAAAGTTCAGATTTCTCTGTATTGTGACAGGTGTGTTGATCTTTCATTTTGTTGTGTTCTTCTGTGACATCAGTGTGGTTTGCACCAGAATAAATTTCCATTAGTTCATTTGCATCCATTTGAACCCTGTTAGTAAGTGTTTTCCTTGTTTAATAGTTATTTGTTGCTGGGCTCAGCGTTGTTAATGGCTTTTATCAGTTTCCAAAATTTGTCTCCATCTTTGTCTAAATTATGGTTTTCAGTTTTTTTTCTCGCTAGGAATGTCTAGTTGTTCTCTTGTATTTTGTTTGTCCATCCATCCCCACACCCCTTTTTACATTTGGAATGGCGTGTACTTGTGTGATTAAAAAAAAATTGGTTTGTGTAATTGACTACTTGCATCAACAGTGAGCTGTGATTCTGATTTCGGACTGTTAATGTGGGCACATCTGAGGGCTGCCTTGCGCATTTACTTTGCATGTGTAAGCTTCAGGATTTTGCTGGGACTGCCCCCCCCCCCCCCCCCCCAATCACTAGTTGTCAGCTGAGACAGTGAAGGACATTTCCACTGGCACGGGAACGTACAACCCATCTGCATGAAGTTGGAACCTCGACTGATGACTGTGTGTGTGTATGCGTGCGTGCGTGTGCATGCCTGTGTGTATACTGATAGTTTCCGCATGTGTTAGAGCTGACATGTGTTAGATGTTATGTAGCTATTCTTTTTGTTGCAGGATGAAGTCCTTGCTCTGGAGGATCGGCTTGTGGTCAGGCTGGATGATCTTGTCCCCCTTATCCGTCACGATGTCCAGTGGACCTATGGCAGATGTGCTGATCATGTGCTGGATGGTTGTCAGAGAACCAAGAAAGCTCATGAAGCCAACAGACACTGTCAGATAGTTAAACATGAAAACGGCAAAAAAAGAAACTTTGGTGTTGATATCTCAGAGAGAGGAAATATGGATTCAGTCTGTGGTGAGTGAAAACAACAAAACTTCACAGATTTGTGTGTGCCTATGTTGTGTATGATCTGTAGATTTAAGGGCATAGACACATGGTGCTGTGTGTTATCAGCTGACTGAGGACATAGACACATGGTGCTGTGTGTTATCAGCTGACTGAGGACATAGACACATGGTGGTGCTGTGTGTTATCAGCTGACTGAGGACATAGGTGGTGCTGAGTGTTATCAGCTGACTGAGGACATAGACTAATGGTGGTGCTGAGTGTTATCAGCTGACTGAGGACATAGACAGGTAGTGCTGAGTGTTATCAGCTGACTGAGGACATAGACAGGTAGTGCTGAGAGTTATCAGCTGACTGACAACATAGGTGGTGCTAAGTGTTATCAGCTGACTGAGGACATAGACACATGGTGGTGCTGAGTGTTATCAGCTGGCTAAGGATGTAGACACATGGTGCTATATGTTATCAGCTGACTGAGGACATAGACACATGGTGGTGCTGAGTGTTATCAGCTGGCTAAGGATGTAGACACATGGTGCTATATGTTATCAGCTGACTGAGGACATAGACACATGGTGGTGCTGAGTGTTATCAGCTGGCTAAGGATGTAGACACATGGTGCTATATGTTATCAGCTGACTGAGGACATAGACACATGGTGGTGCTGAGTGTTTTCAGCTGACTAAGGCACATACAGGTAGTGCTAAGTGTTATCAGCTAAGGATATTAGTAGATTGTTATATCTTGTTGTCTTACAGATAGTGCCTGCAGTGGAGCAGCCAATGTTCTAGTATTAACTTACCCTAAGTATTGCCGATATAGAGCCATGCAGAAACGACTAGAAGGGGCTGAGAACCACTGGGCTCACCTGGCTGTGGTTGCTGCCATCGGAGGGTTGTCTGGGAATGGCTCTGGCTGTAGGATCATGTTCTGTCGGGAGACCTTCAGCCAAGTAGAGTACGAGGAGTTGAGCATGAGAATGGATCACATGTGTAAGTGTTTGGCTGTTTCTACCACTTTTTCTTTTGTAACATGTGATTTTATCTTACAGCTTATGATTTTTTCAATCACAACTTGAGATTTTATGTTTCATGTGATTTTATATTACATCATGTGATTTTATGTTGCAACATATAATTATCTGCCGCAGTATGGGATTATATGTTAGAACATGTGATTAAATGTTGCATCATCTGATTATATATTACAGTATATGATTAAATCTGCAAAATGTGATTTTATATTACGTTTTTTGATTGATTGTTACAGCTTTTGATTGTATAACCATGGGGTTCTGTGTTACAAGGGATTTTCTGTCACCATGTGTTTTTATGTTACGCCATCTGATTTTATGCTAGAACGTGATAATATGATACAGCATATGATTATATGTTGCAACATGTGATACTAGCTACCATGGTTGCACCCCGTGTGGACTCTCACCACCATGTTAAAATTCTACTTTTGCAGTAAATATAGTAGTAATGGTTAGTCCATATATTTTTCTATTTCTTTACGGGAAACAGATCATTAGTAGTTTAGGTAAATTTACCATAAATTTTGGTGAGCTCCTATTTCGATGACAAATTAGACGGATGTTTTGATAATAGTGGCTGATGATTAAAACCAGCGTGGTGGAACCATTTGGGGAATATTTCTGATGGTATGAGATATTTCCTTGATTGTTTTAAATTGGAAAATGAAGATGAAGATACTTCTTAACAGTTTGATGACTGTGACTTCGATCATTCTTTGGAACTGTCATTACAAAAATATGGTAAAATGTGGAAGACGTTTCACTGACTGCAGTGGTATTATGTTCATTAATTCATGTAAGCTTATTTATGTATGCTCTGTTGCTTAGAATTTAGTGACAATCATTTTACAATGCAATATGCGCTTACTGAGATGCCATACCTGCGATACACATTTTGGGAAAATTGTGTGTGGCTCTTTGAGTTTGACAGTGTAGTTATACTGTCTCAGAAGTTCCTGGTGCCCAATGGCAAACAGCCACTAAATTTACAGGCAGAGCTCTCATCCAGGATTCTTCTTCTTCAGCATTCTGAGCCCTTGAGATTCATTGCTGCAGATATTACCAATCTCCATTCATCTCTCTGCTTGGCCTTCTCTTTCCAGTTAGTGACACCAAGTGTTTGTAGGTATGTCTGAATATTATTTCTCCATCGTCTTCTTGGTCTGCCTCGTGGTCTCGACCATTCAACTCCCTTGTGTATACATTTTTACCTCTGTCATATGACATTCACTCAGTATGCCCTGGCCATTTCTGTCTATTAGCCCTCATGATGTCGGTGATCAGTGGTGATTTCAACAGATTATGAATTTTGTTTCCTGTCACTATCCATTCCTTATTGCTTGCTTCTTTGACGGGTCTGCAGATTCATCATAAAACTCTGTTTTCAAAAATTTGTGATAAGGCTTCATCTGTTTTAGTAGTGCTTCAAGTTTCAGAGCCATATAAAACAACTGGTCAGATCAACGTGTTATATATTTTGATTTTAGTGTTGCCAGATAGAGACTTCATCTTTAGCAGAAAGGCATAGTAAACTTTTTTTGTAGATTGTGTTTCTTCTCTCAGCCTGTTTGATTGATAACTAATCCAATTTTGTAAGCTGCTTCTTTAAAGAAAGTCTGTGTTTTTACAGTGAAACGGTATCAATGGCAGTCAGTCAGCATGTCCTTTGCAAAACCTTGCTGCCATAACAATCTTCCAGAGAACAGTCACAAGCAAGATTATCCACATCTGATACACCAATCTGGATATCATTCGCCACATCCTGCACTCATCTTCTCTTTGGCCTTCCTCTCTTCCCAGGCATATACCCCTCCAATATTGTTCTCTCACTTTCCGGGCATTTCAAGTGACCAAAATATTTCAATTTTCTGTTTTTTATTGTCTTTAAAAGACAACCTTCTTCAGTATTCATTTCTTGAAGTATGGATGCATTTGTTCTTTTCTTTACTCATGATATTGTTAGAACCCGTCTATAACATTTATATTCATAGGTCTGAATGCTTGCTGTTCAGCTTGTTCAGTGAGTGTCCATGTCTCAATGTATGTTGCATTAGGAAAGATGCAACTCTTAGAACTCTAAATTTTGTAGTTCTGTCTGTCCCACTCCATAATTTAATTCATTGCTGTTATGATACTTGGCAAGTTTTGCAGAAGGTAGTTTGCCATTGTTTTAATTCTGGTCAGTGACTACTAGTCAGTGGCCATAGCCATTGTCTCTACTGATGAGATCTTTTGCCTATCGCTGCAGAGTGCATGACCATAACCAACAACAGTCTGTTGGCTGCTCTGACACTCCATCCACCACCTGCTTCCATGGCTTCAGGAAACCCTGATTGGTGGGCTAAACGGGTACTCCACCTTGTCAAAGGGTGTCCTGTAGGCTAACGGAGGAAAGGATCCGTCCTACATCTCCTTTGATAGGGGATACCCCTACCCCGCTAACAATATTAGTGTCTAAACAATATTTTGCACAATTTATTGCCTAGTATATTTTACTATAGCTCATCAGGTGCATACTACAGTAACAATTAAATAAATGAAGCAAATAAGTGAATCCTTCAAAACTGAAGTACAGATTCAACCACACTCAAAAGCGACTGCATGTTTTACCAAGGCAATTTCAGAATCATATCTTTCTGTTTACAAAGAACTCAATCAGACATTATTATCGAATAAATATCCAGTTGGATTTATTAAGCATCACTGCCAGCCTCCTAAACCAACTACCACAGAAACCTCAGTCCCTAAACTACAAGTCTACACGATCTAATCTTTCCAGTGGATGGCGTTATGAAACGTCATTACGACTGGCTCAAAACAGCAGTCACTCAAGCTTTCTTCACTGTTGTGCCTGTTGTTAGGTTTAAAACGACCACTGTGCCACTGCCCTTAGTAAAACAACTAGTTACAGTGCATGCAGAGCAAATTGTATGTACCTTTTTTTTTAAGGAGCTGGGAAGCTGCTTTTTGTGGGCAGAACTAATTGATAAGCAGAGAACTTGTGTAAGAGACGACGGCACAAGATTTTTGAAACTGGAGATTTGAACTCAGCAAAGCCCGAGCTGGCTCGTGGTCAATTTGGAACCAGAGCTTGAAGAAGACAGTTGTGATAGTGTGATTTAGTTTAACTGCGGTGTATTAAGCATCATGTAAATGATTGTAGGATTACTGTGGAAGCGAGTAATGATGGCTATGATTGAAAGAACTGCGACTGAAGAGAGTGGAAGAATCCAATGGAATAAACTGATCGAAGTTGATTTCAGAAACTGAGCGCTATCCGATGTTATTCATTGTAGAAAGTCTATTCTGTTCCAAGCGAGTCAGAGTGACTACACGAAGCTTCATCGCATGTTGGTGGAAAAAAGTGCAAAGTAAAAATCCAAATGAGAACAACAGGAAAGAACAGTAATTGAACAAACAGTTCTTGAGTGACTAGTGAGAAAGACCATCCCTCTGCGATGTGTGGTTGAATTTGTACTTTAGTTACAAAGGATTCACTTATTTGCTTCATTTATTTAATTGTTAATGTAGTATGCCCCTGACGAGATTCAGTGAAATATGCCCGGCAGTAAACTGTTTGTGTCTTTTTTGTTTAAATTCACTACGGGAAAACATTGGCCTGAATATCAGTGTAATCTGCATAAGCAAATATTCTTGTAGTTTCTCCAATATTACATTGTTCTTTCAATTTCCTTATAATTTTCTCTAGAGCCAGGTTGAAAACAAGTTAGGACAAAGCATCACCTTGTTTCAAACCAAATGTTATTTGAAAAGGGTCTGACTTTCTGCGTTTATATGTTACTATATTAATTTATTCCATACATAGTTTGGTCATGGTGATTAACTTCTTTTGTATTCCAGAGTCCTTCCTAGCATTCCTGAAATTGTATCTGCATGCCCGTTTGTTGATCAAATGATCACATGGTATTGTACTGCCTCAGTGAAGTTTCTTCAGTGCCATTTCCCTGTTGGTCTTTTGTCTCTGATTATGTTTTGTTGATGAAGTCCTGCTTCCTTAACATCCTCTTGTATTGCAGCTGTCATTGGTCTAGACTCTGTTCTCTAAGATGTTGATGTTGCTGCCTCTCATCCACAGTGCCGGTCTTCAAGAACAACACAAGAGGCAAGAAGTGCAGACATACAGGGCAGAAAGATTCTCAGCATGACTCTGACAGCATGGAAGAGAACTATTCCTTCACCAGCTGTCCACTGCCCACATCATCAAGGGTATGCTCATCTCTGTTTCACTAATATACTTTAATTATATGTTTAACGTATGATATGTTTCACTTATATACTTTAGTCATATATTTCACTTATTTACTTCAATAACATTTTTCACTTATATACTTCATTCACATGTTTAACTTATATGCTTCAGTCTATATACTTCAGTCATATGTTTCACTTATATACTTTAGTCATATATTTCACTTATCTACTTCAATAACATTTTTCACTTACATACTTCATTCACATGTTTAACTTATATGCTTCAGTCTATATACTTCAGTCATATGTTTCACTTATATACTTGTCACACGTTTCACTTATATACTTCAGTCACATGTTTCACTTATATACTTCAGTCATTTGTTTCACTTTTACACTTCAGTCACGTGTTTTGCTTAAAAACTTCAGTCATATGTTTCTCATATACAATTCAGTCTCTGTTTCACATATATACATCAGTCTGTGTTTCACATATATACATCAGTCATATGTTTCACTTATATTCATAAATCTTTGTTTCAGTTAAATACTTCAGTCACATGTTTTACTTATATACAGCACTCACATGTTTTACTTGTATACTTTATCGTATGTTTCTCTCATGTACTTCAGACATATGTTTAACTTATGTACTTCAGTCATATGTTTCACTTTCATACTTTAGTCATATGTTTTACTTATATACTTCAGTCATATGTTTCACTAATGTATTTCAGTCATATGTTTAACTTATGTACTTCAGTCATATGTTTAAGTTATATATTTTAGTCATATGTTTCACTTATATACTTCAATAATATATGCAGACAGCAGCGGTGTGGCATGGGGCGGGAAGTAGCAGCGGGAAGTAGCAGATTCAGTCTTGCGTGTGTGTGTGTGTGTGTGTGTGTGTGTGCCTTTGTTTCTAGTGAGTCGGGCAGAATGAACAGGATAAATCGTTTATGGCTGTGGTTTCTAGAAAGGATTACATTGGGAGATGGTGGGGCTCGGTTCAGTTGTATTTATAAATAGAGTCGCCGTGGTGGGGGCTAAGCACGGCCTTCTCTATTAATTTGAGATGGCATTGGGGCTAAGCAAAGTGACTGCAGCTGGATTTCCCAGTTCTATTTTTGGCCTGGATTTATCTTTACAGTGTGTTTGGCGATCAGTATTGCAATTCCCCCTCTTCCCTCCCTCTTTCACTCTTCTACCTATTGCTCCTTCCTTCCCGTCTCCTGCATTGTCTCTAACCCTCCCTTCTGATCTTCATCTTCTTCTCTTTCTCTCTATCTTTCCTTTTACTCTCTCATTTCCTGTCCCCCCTCCCCCTTTTTCCTATTTTATTTCTTGTTTAAATGTTTAGTATGGTAGTTTAGTAAATGTGTGGCTCCATAACTCTTCCTAGCAACTCAAGTACACAGGAAGTTGTATTGGGGGGGTGGGGGGGGGGGGGCATTCTGTGTGAACATGGTGGATATTTTCTTTTGATGTATTTGTTTTCCTAGGGGCCTTAATCTCTGTCCATCTCCCTTCCCGCCCCTCACATTTTGTCCTACCTGTTCCTCTCTCTGCCTGTCTGTGTCACTGCTTTCCTCTCTCTCTTTCTCTTTGTATTTGCCACTCTCCCTCACTCCTTCCCCCCCCCCCTCTCTCTCTCTCTTTCTTTCTCCATACCTTCAGTTTTTTTTATGTGTTGCCTAGTGCAGAACATTTCATGTCCACCATTCCCCCCTCCCACACATTAAATATATGTGTACTTTTAAAAACACATTTGCCGTCACCACCCCCCCCCCCCCCCCCTTTTTTTTTTCTCCTTCCACATTGATGACACCTAGGGGAGGGAGTGCACCCCTTCCTGCTACCTTCTTCCCTCTATATCTCATCTTATTTCTTACTCCCTTCTTTCTCTCCCTGTCTCATTCCCACTTTATTTTCTTAAACTTTATTCTCTCACCTCCTCTGTCTCACCCTTACCACCTCAGCCTTCTACACCACTTTCCACCACCTCCTCTCTCCCCTCCTTTCTGTAATTGGAAAACCAGAAATAAAACGAAGTCCACTGCTGCCCTGACCTATTTATGTGTGTGGGTAAACTTCTCTATTTTCCACCAGTGGTGGGTTGGGATCCCCTGGACTTTTTTTTTTCTTCATTACATGACCTTGGCTCTCAGGTCACCAGCCTTAAGTGTAAGAAATTGAATTATTGTTGTCACACACAGATAAGACAAGCAAGGGGCAGTATGGGTTAGCACTGTTGTTTTTGGACCACGGGCCACATTCACATTGGGAGAGGGTAGGAACAGGAAAAGTGGCCTCACTTAGAGATTTCCTAATTCTATTTTTGGCACTCATTGTTCTTACACCCCCCACCCCCACAACCGTGTCTTACCTTTCTTCTCTCACCCCTTCTCTTTCCTTTGATCTTCTACTATTCTCCTTTCTCTCTCCATTCTTCCTCTCTTCCTTTCCTTGCCCTTTCTCCTGTCCCATCTCTTCTTTGTCTCCTCTCCATTCTGTCTTTTCATTTTCTCTAGATTTCCTTACCCGCTCCCCTCTCTCATTCTCTTCCCCCCCCCCTCTCCCCATTTTTTTTTACTGGTTCATCTACGTATTTTTTTGCCCTATAACTATCTTTTCCTAGTGGTTGTGTCCACTACACTTGAAATTGTGGGGGGGGGGGGGGGGGGGGGGGGGGGGGAGTAGGTGGCTGTTTTTTTTCTTTGATGTATCTTGTCTCCCTTCCTGTCCCTCTCTCTTAATCTGTGTTTGTCACTGCCTTCCTTACCCACCTTTCTCTCTCTCTCTCTTGCTTTATGTCTGTTTGCCTCCCTTCATCACTTCCTCTTTGTATACCTCCCTCCCATTCTCCTGCTCTGCCTTTTTTCTTTCTTTGGCTCTTTCCCTCTGTCTGCTTGCCTCTCTGTGCTGTCCCTTTGTCTCTCTCTCCTTTATGTCTACATCTCTCTCTGCTTGCATCTGCTTCTCACCCTGTCCGTTCTCTCTCCCTCTGTCTCCCTTCTTTCAACTCTGTCATATTTTCTTCCTTCCATATCTCTGTTTCGTTCCCTTTTTCCTTCTCTTTTCATCTGCCCATCTCTGTATCTGCATTCCCCCTTTCTGTATTTGTCTCCCTCTCTTGTCTTTCGCTGTCCCTTCCCCACTTTTCCTCATCATGTCTCCATCCCTCCCTCTCATTTTTCCCTCCTTCCCCAGACTTCTTTTCCTTCTTTTCTCTACCTTCATCTGTCCATCTTTACACTGTCTCTCCCAGCCTACCTCAGCATGTGTCTTCCTCTCTCTTCATGACTCTCTCTCTCTCCCCTAACCCTCTCAGGTACCAGGTCCAGAACAGACAGGACTTCAGTTTGCTGCCCTCTACCACCAAGCCCTAAAAAAAAATTTCAAACACTATATCAAGCTCAGGGGCCGACCAACACGACCAACACGAAGATGGGCACAGGACATAAGTGACTCCTTGAGTATAAAAATGTACATGAGGCGGGAGAGCTGGTGAGAGACCGAGGTTTTTTTGTCAGGACAAAGGAAATGCTACATGATGATGAAATATGTGCTGGTATACAAACACATGTGGCACGAATGAAGTACATTGTGTGCTCAGTACACCCTTGAACAAAGCAAAAACCTTGAAAAAAACTAAGGAGACCTTAAAAAAGACCTTGAAAAGCCTTGAAATTGATTGGTAAATTTGGCTATGAACCCTATATATATATATATATATATATATATATATATATATATATTTAAAAAAAAACACTAAGCATACAAATAAGCCAGATCTGTAAAATGAGTGTGCTTGCAAAACTTAAGCTTTGGGGGAAAAAAGACCAAAGTCTAGAACTTTCCACCAGAATTTACAGCCAGTGAATGTGAAGAGACTGACATATTTTAAACTGTTCTTATTTACTTAATTTCCCCGTGTGGGTTCCGGGGCCCTGTTATAGAGAAAACAAGAATAGATGCACTGCCAACCCAAAAGGACGTCGTAGGAGTCGACTAACTGGCAGCTGCCTTCGAAATCAAAGTGCATCTGCCTGAGAGGCAAGGAACCAACAGTCTGCATACAAATTAGTCAGATCTGTCAAATGGATGCACACTCAACACTCAGGTTCTGGAATAGGACTGCAGTCCAGAGGTGGGCAAACAGCTAGAACTTTCCGCCAGAGTTTACAGCTGGTGAACATGAAGAAGAAGTCTATGCTTCACTTATATACTTCAGTCATACATTTCACTTATAAACATCAGTCATATGTTTCACCTATAAACTTCAGTCTTAGGTTTCACTTATATACATCAGTCTATGTTTCACATATATACATCAGTCATATGTTTCACTTATATACCTCATTCATAAGTTTTAATTAAATACATCAGTCATATGTTTCACTTATATACTTCATTTATATATTTCACTTATATGCGTAAGTCATAAGTTTCACCAAAGTCAGTCAAATATTTCACTAATATACTCCAGCCGGCGTCTGTGGCTTAGGCGTTGCCAAAGGGCTTCGTAATGTCAGGATGCTAGGTTCGATCCCTGCTGCAGGCCTTGCGCTGTGCGTTAGTTTCGACAGTGGTATCGAGAAGCTGATCATCCAGAAAGCAGTTTCAAACTACTGGATGTAAATTTGCCTAGAAAAACCACAACAGCCCAAAAAGGCTAGGGTTGGTTCTGCAATGTCCTGTAAAGGATACGCAACTAACTCCATTTTTCACTTCTATATATCAGTCGTTTGTTTCTCTTATATGCTTCAATCATATGTTTCACTTAAATACTTCAATCATATGTTTCACTTACTGTATTTTCCAGAGTACTTATTTAAAAATATATGCGTTCTAAAAACAGTATGGGTCTTACACAAATGATTTGTTAGAAATTATCCCATTTTGGGCATCATTTGGGAATGTCTGTTCAGGGACTAGATAAAATGGGGCCAAATAATTTATAAAAAAACGTTCTTTCCTACTGTAATATTTTGTTGTAGTCTCTTCACTTCTGTATGTAAGACTTTTGTGTGCTTCTTACTTCTGTATGTAACATTTTATTGTAGTCTCGTCACTTCTGTATGTAATATTTTATTGTAGTCTCGTCACTTCTGTATGTGACATTTTATTGTAGTCTCTTTACTTCTGTATATGACATTTTATTGTAGTCTCTTTACTTCTGTATGTGACATTTTATTGTAGTCTCTTTACTTCTGTATGTGGCATTTTATTGTAGTCTCGTCACTTCTGTATGTAATAATTTATTGTAGTCTCTTCACTTCTGTATATGACATTTTATTGTAGTTTCTTTACTTCTGTATATGACATTTTATTGTAATGTCTTCACTTCTGTATGTGACATTTTATTGTAGTCTCTTCACTTCTGTATATGACATTTTATTGTAGTTTCTTTACTTCTGTATATGACATTTTATTGTAGTGTCTTCACTTCTGTATGTGACATTTTATTGTAGTCTCTTTACTTCTTTCTGTATATGACATTTTATTGTAGTCTCTTTACTTCTGTATGTGACATTTTATTGTAGTCTCTTTACTTCTGTATGTGACATTTTATTGTAGTCTCTTTACTTCTGTATGTGACATTTTATTGTAGTCTCTTTACTTCTGTATGTGACATTTTATTGTAGTCTCTTTACTTCTGTATGTAAGACTTTTGTGTGCTTCTTACTTCTGTATGTAATATTTTATTGTAGTCTTTTTACTTCTGTATGTGACATTTTATTGTAGTTTCTTTACTTCTGTATATGACATTTTATTGTAGTTTCTTCACTTCTGTATGTGACATTTTATTGTAGTCTCTTTACTTCTGTATGTGACATTTTATTGTAGTCTCTTTACTTCTGTATGTGGCATTTTATTGTAGTCTCTTTACTTCTGTGTGTGACATTTTATTGTAGTCTCGTCACTTCTGTATGTAATATTTTATTGTAGTCTCTTTACTTCTGTATGTGACATTTTATTGTAGTCTCTTTACTTCTGTATATGACATTTTATTGTAGTTTCTTTACTTCTGTATATGACGTTTTATTGTAGTCTCTTTACTTCTGTATATGACATTTTATTGTAGTTTCTTTACTTCTGTATATGACGTTTTATTGTAGTCTCTTCACTTCTGAATGTGACATTTTATTGTAGTCTCTTCACTTCTGTATATGACATTTTATTGTAGTCTCTTTACTTCTGTATGTGACATTTTATTGTAGTCTCTTTACTTCTGTATGTGACATTTTATTGTAGTCTCTTTACTTCTGTATGTGACATTTTATTGTAGTCTCTTCACTTCTGTATATGACATTTTATTGTAGTCTCTTCACTTCTGTATATGACATTTTATTGTAGTCTCTTTACTTCTGTATGTGACATTTTATTGTAGTCTTTACTTCTGTATGTGACATTTTATTGTAATCTCTTTACTTCTGTATGTGACATTTTATTGTAGTCTCTTTACTTCTGTATGTGACATTTTATTGTAGTCTCTTCACTTCTGTATATGACATTTTATTGTAGTCTCTTCACTTCTGTATATGACATTTTATTGTAGTTTCTTTACTTCTGTATATGACATTTTATTGTAGTGTCTTCACTTCTGTATATGACATTTTATTGTAGTTTCTTTACTTCTGTATATGACATTTTATTGTAGTGTCTTCACTTCTGTATGTGACATTTTATTGTAGTCTCTTTACTTCTTTCTGTATATGACATTTTATTGTAGTCTCTTTACTTCTGTATGTGACATTTTATTGTAGTCTCTTTACTTCTGTATGTGACATTTTATTGTAGTCTCTTTACTTCTGTATGTGACATTTTATTGTAGTCTCTTTACTTCTGTATATGACATTTTATTGTAGTCTCTTTACTTCTGTATGTGACATTTTATTGTAGTCTTTTTACTTCTGTATATGACATTCTATTGTAGTCTCTTCACTTCTGTATGTGACAGTTTGTTGTAGAGTCTTCACTTCTGTATGTGACAGTTTGTTGTAGTGTCTTCACTTCTGTATGTGACAGTTTGTTGTAGTCTCTTCACTATGACATTTTATTGTAGTCTCTTCACTTCTGTATGTGACAGTTTGTTGTAGTGTCTTCACTTCTGTATGTTACAGTTTGTTGTTGTCTTATCACTTCAGGGTGTAACATTTTGTTGTTGGCTTTACAATTCTGAATGTAACATTTTGTTGTATTGTTGTCACCTCAGTATATAAAGTGATATTTGTGTGTGGCTGTTACTGTCTCTAAAATGATCTTTGATACTAGGATTATAATGTTTATCTAATGTTTGTTCTCACCTCTAGCCACGGAGGTCAGTGGAGTCATTAGATGTCAATGATGAGAAGGTGAGCACAGAGGAGCAGGCTTTTCTCATTGGTCTTCACAAGTTCATGCATGAAGCACAGATGCCCATTGGTAGAATCCCGTCTCTTGGCTTCAAACAGAGTATGTTTTCCTTTCATGAACCTGTGACAAGTTGTCTTCAGAGTATGTTTTACTTTCATGAATATGTGACATGTTGTCTTCAGAGCCTGTCTTCCTTTCATGAACTTGTGACATGTTTTCCTAATTATGTGTCTCTAGAACATCACACACAGAATACCTTGCCAAATTGCACAAATCATTGATGATTGCCTGCGGTATCACACAATAAATAATTAATGATTGCCTTCGGTATCACACAATAAATAATGATTCCCTGTGGTGTGACACAATAATTGATTAATGCATGTGGTATCACACAAATCATTGATGATTGCCTGTGGTATCACACAATAATTGATAATAACATGCAGTATCATATAAATCATTGATGATTCTCTGTGTATCACACAATAATTGATTAATGCATGTGTAATTACAAAATAATTAATTATTTCACATGGTATCACACAAATCCTTGATGCGTTGCCTGTGGTATCACACAATAATTGATAATAACATGCAGTATCATACAAATCATTGGTTGCCTGTGGCGTCACATAGTAATTGATGATTGCATGTGATATCACACAAAATAATTAATTATTGCAAAATGGTATCACACAAATCCTTGATGCGTTGCCTGTAGTATCACACAATAATTGATAATAACATGCAGTATCATACAAATCATTGATGGTTGCCTGTGGTGTCACACATTACTTGGTGATTACCTGCGGTATCACACAATAATTGATGATTGCCTGTGGTGTCACATGGCGTTATCACAAAAATAATTGGTGATTGCCTGTAGTATGATTGATGATTACTGTTGTACACTTAATTTGTACATTCTTTTGTATACTTTATATTCAACCAAGTATTTAGGCCTAGGGTGCCTATTCTAGTATTCCGCTGGATATCTCCTTGATGGATGTGCTACAGTGAAGTCCTGCATTCTATAACTGGCACACTTGGCACCGACACAGCATCATGTAATACAGTCGCTACCTTTACAAGCCAACAATAACGCTTGTGACAGGCCACATAAACTTTAATGGCATTAAAGTTACACGTCACAAGATGATGATGATTATTCAATAAAAACGTACGATAATAACTCTTTATTATCTACTCTGAGAATATAAAAGAATTACACTCTTTTCTCAATGGACTCCTGCCATTATAATAAATAAATAGACATTAAACTGTCTCCCGTGTAAGTACGGTTAATCAAACTTCACAAAGAAGGAACGTCTTATTTGGACAAGGAAAATATCTTGACTGCCGAATCCTTTGTGTTCTGCAGGAGCCTTTGTGTTAATCGCCCAGCATTCAATTAGCTGGTATCCCAGGTAACAGACCCGACCGGTGGCCGCTGTGTGAACCTTTCACCTGCGCTGTGACCACTAGAAGAAACTAGAAGAAACTTTAACTCTTGGACTATAAGATTACAACAGCTTATCCCCTCCTCTCACAAACTGAAAATCTACGTTTTCAGTTGCACAATTTTAACTCTGTTGTAGTCATCTAGACAACTTATATTCGAATATACCTAGTGAAATCAACATGCAGTTAAGTGAGAATGCATGTAAACGAAATGATGATAACTTTTGTTATAATAAGAATGCATGTAAACAAAATGATGATAACTTTTGTTATAATAAGACATGAACTAAACAACAAGAAATACAATATAATATCATAACTGGTTCACTAATAACTCATAAGCTAAATCCACATATCATAATTACTGTCAATCCCAATAAATGGAATCATCTGTCCAAAACACTTGAGAAATTAACTAACTAAACACTTCTCATAGGTATGTCCTTGAAATATACATATCTGGATAAAGTATGTTGATACCAATATATAAGCATCCATTGCAGTGTAGTGAGGTATAAAAATTCCAATGTGAAAAGGAACTGATTGTCTCATGACGTACAAGGAAATCTGGACAAATAGTCAGCAAGTACGTTCTCCTTACCACTCCGGTAGATGATGGTATAGTTAAACGTCTGAAGAAACAATGTCCAACGAAGAATACGGGCATTTGTTACAGACCCTGTGTTCAAAACAGCAAGTGACTTGTGGTCTGTAATTACATAAAACGTTCTCCCTATTAGGTACCTGGAGAATTTAGCGATGGACCAGTAAATTCCCAGTGCTTCTCTCTCTCCGACACTATAGCGTGTTTCAGTGTCGGACAATTTGCGACTTGCATAGAGGCAAGGATGTAAAGTCCCATCGTACATTTGGGAAATTACTGCTCCCAGTGCGACATTTGAAGCATCTGAGGAAACATAAAAATCAAGTGATAGATTAGGCAATCTCAGAAATGGTTTATTGTTAAATGTTCTTTGTATCTGGCTGAGTGCTTGTGCGCAGGATTCATCCCAAAACACCTCTCGAGGCATCGTCTTTCTTGTCAACTCAGACAACACAGATGTTATAGAGGAATAATGGGGAATAAATTTAGCGTAGAAGTTCTTAGACCCAAAAATGATAGCTCATGAAATGCTATCTGGACTTAAATAGGTGCCTATCTCTGTCTATGTGTTTCTTCTGTGCTCGTGTAACAGCATTGGCCACTGTGTCATTGTCATCGTTCCACTTCTTAATATCTTCTGTTGTGCAAGCTCGCACCCCTGGAACTGTACCAAGAATGATATCTGGTGAACACCGGTTTACGACACATACCTCTGCAACACCGGTAAAATGGGGACATCTAATTTTCACAATTGCAAGTGGATATTTTTCAAGATTTCCACCGAATGTGCGGCATTTGGCATACCTTCCTGTATATGCAGATGAAGGAACTAAGTATCTTGCCACGCCAATAACATTCGCACCCGTGTCCCTCAAAACTGTAGATCTAACCTTGCCAATGTACCCAAAATGGAGAGGTAATCCACATTCTGTAGGCATGGCGGACAAAGCAGGATACACGATGTCAGGTCGAACTCTGACTTGTACTGTATCACTGTGGCTGGCATGTGTTATGTCCTCTACCTGAACTGCATTGCCCTGTCTTGGTGTAACTCTAGGACAGAATTTTTTTTTTTTTTTTTTGACAGGCCACATAAACTTTAATGGCATTAAAGTTACACGTCACAAGATGATGATGATTATTCAATAAAAACGTACGATAATAACTCTTTATTATCTACTCTGAGAATATAAAAGAATTACACTCTTTTCTCAATGGACTCCTGCCATTATAATAAATAAATAGACATTAAACTGTCTCCCGTGTAAGTACGGTTAATCAAACTTCACAAAGAAGGAACGTCTTATTTGGACAAGGAAAATATCTTGACTGCCGAATCCTTTGTGTTCTGCAGGAGCCTTTGTGTTAATCGCCCAGCATTCAATTAGCTGGTATCCCAGGTAACAGACCCGACCGGTGGCCGCTGTGTGAACCTTTCACCTGCGCTGTGACCACTAGAAGAAACTAGAAGAAACTTTAACTCTTGGACTATAAGATTACAACAATTACTTCAGGGTTTGAGCCGACCTTAGACCTTGAAAAAGTCGGGAAATGCAAGATCCCTCTCAAGGCCTTGAAAAAACTCAGGATTGTTGTGAAAACTGACAAAATGTCTGGAACTTTACCCACCAAACCTTGAACTTCACACACCGTAACTAGGACATGGATAACAAAAAGAGAATTTCGTGATTTTCGGCAGTGGGGCTTGCCTTTTTTTGTTAATTTTTTTTTTTTTTGGGGGTGGTTATGCAGTTTAAATTGATCATCAGTAAACTGTGCAGGAAGAATGTTGGGCGACCGTGTGTGCAATCGTTTTAAATCTGTGCCGGCAATCTGTGAGTGGAGAAGCGATAGTTCACGGTCTCATTGTTTGAGTGAGTTATTTTCAGCCTTCTCTTCTCTTGACCCCTTCCCCCTCTCACTCCCTTTATTTGGCGTAGCAGAGTCAGCACAGAGCAGACCTCCAAATATATGTATACTTTTTAAAACACATTTGACAACCCCCCCCCCCCCCCCCCCCCACCCCCACATACACACCAGTGATGACACCCCCTCCCTCCAACACAAATACAGTGATGCCCCCCCCCCCCACCCCCCCCCCCCCACGGGCCTGCATGCCCAATTTGTGGCCCTTTAAAAATAATATTTGTTTACTTTCTTTTTCCTTCCCTTTCTTTCTCATCCTTGTCTCATTGCTGACTTTCTTTTCTTAGTCTCTTTTCTTCTCTCCCCCCCCCCACTCCTCTGTCTCCACTTTTCCCTCTCAAGCTACCCCCCCCCCCAACCCCTTCCACCACTTTTCTTTCACTTTTCTTTCAGTAGAGTCAGAAATTATCCACTAGTACATGACAGGTTTTCGTGGGCAGTTGATACAACACAAGTATGGCTATTTCTGGGAATCAGGTCAGGCCGGACCTTTTTCACAAATGACCTTGGTTCCCAGGTCCACCCAGCCTTGATGTAAGAAATGGAACTATAGCAGCCTCATGGGGACAGCCAAGCATGGGACGGGAGGGGTCAAGGCCGCAGCCACATGGGGACAGCCAAGCATTGGCCGGGAGGGGTCAAGGTCGCAGCCACATGGGGACAGCCAAGCATTGGATGCGAGGGGTCAAGGCCGCAGCCACATGGGGACAGCCAAGCATGGGATGAGAGGGGTCAAGGCCACAACCACATGGGGACAGCCAAGCATGGGACGGGAGGGGTCAAGGCCGCAGCCACATGGGGACAGCCAAGCATGAGACGGGAGGGGTCAAGGCTGTGGCCACATTCACACCGGAAAGGGTGGTATCGGGAAACTACTGTCACTTAGATTTCTCAATCTGCTTTTGGCGCTCAGTGTTCTAACACCCCCACCCCTTGGGGCGACAAAGACTTCAAAGATTGCAGAAATAAAGCATTAAAACTCTTTCTTTTTTAAACCCTATTTGCACAGCTGTTCTACTAAGAATAATTTTGAATTGTGTACAGAAAACCAAAGTGGTCAAAATTATAATTTTCATCCTGGTCCCTCCCCTTAACTACTTTTAGT